ACATCAAATATCTCATTAAAGTTGAGCTAAATATTATTATCTATATCTTGTTTTTCTCTGTACAGTAAAAATATAAACTACTATTAAATATATTTTATTGACAGTACCACTAATATAGCAATAAATGGCCAAATCTTTATAATTAGAATAAAAATGTGAAATTTCTTTCATTTAGCAAATACACCTAAGATTAGATATTAAAAATAAATAAAATAGTTATATTATGTAATCATCATGTAAATTTGGGATGTTAAAGTGGTGGCCATTTCATGCAAAAAAGATGAGGACTTGTTTTAAATCATTGTTGTTCTAACTTCTATGTTAGATGAACTCATACAAAGGAAAACAGTAAAATAAACAGAACCTCAGAATATCTGTAAGGAAATATCCACCACTAAAATAAGTAAACTTTATTTGCTTAAGTATAAAACTTTTAATAGAAAATATTGGATTTTTGGTCATTAATTTTTTGCGCATTCGATTCTATGCAAGATCCAAATCTTCTATTTTATTATTTATTATTAATAGTTAGTAAGTAAAAACCTGATTTTAGTTAATTATTAATAACCAACAATGTCACAGGAGACAGAGCAAAAGATTCAAGAATTTCAATACAAACTTAATTTTAATTAAAAATTTCTTTAGCATTTCAATACCACTTTCTTATCAATGTTGAATTTTGTACAAATCTGTGCAAAAAGTGGATCAAAGAGCTTACCCAGCTTCACACATATTTTCAGGAAATCTCAACTTCTAATTGGTCAATAAACACAGAAATGGGCGTTGCAATCCACCCATGCGTGTACAAGTCTTTTTCCAGCATGTGACTACGTTATGTTTTCCCGATTCTTTTCCAGGAGCCTGTTAATTATAAATACCAGAAACAAACTTGTTCTTTCTCTTTTCTTTCTTGATTTCATTTGCCTATGAAAATGTAACCTTAAAGGAAACTGCATTGTGACCCCATTGCGGTCGAACGCTGAAAACATTCACACATGCACACACAAAATTTTCCAAACTACATTACAAACATATGAAACATTTCCAAACCAGCAACAAGAACTTTTCTCTTTCAAATACTTTGATCAAGTTTTCGCACACATCTTTACAAAACAAAATTGTAATATTTTGCATATAAAAAATTTATTTGTTGTTCCAAACATATCCTTTTTTTCGTAATTGAATATCGTTACCATTTGATTCATTATTTAAATTTATGTTTGTGGATGTTGCATGTTTCATTTACAGCAAAACATTAAAATATTCATGCAGCCTTCTTAGATCCATTACATATCTTTTAAAAATTAATCTTTCAGCTTATTTTTTTGAGAGCACAATAATATAGTTTCTCTTTTTGTTGTCGTATTTCATAAAAAAACTTTCTCAAAAGATTTTGCAAAACAAATATCAGACAAGAAATATTTACGCAAAATTTTATCCAACAACTACTGAGTTGAAATTGTTTTTCATTTATTTTATCAACTGTCAAATTATTAGTTTTTTTTTAAATCAGTATGTTCAACTTTCTGTAGTTTTAGTGTTAAAACAATAAAATACGGTTAAGAAATGTTTCACAAACGAAGCCATTTTGTCAACCTTATTTATAATCTATAAATAAATAAAATTTGTCAAATTTGTATAATGTGTTAATGTTTTTATTTGAACAATCTCCCTGATTATGATAAAACTTTGTGAACAATGAATCTGTCCAAAAGAAAATAAACTGCTTTCAGTTGTCAGTGGACCAGGGAAAACTAACATTCCCCAATGGGAATGCTATTACTGAGTATTTCACAACTTGAAGCCAAGAGGGGAAAGAGAAAGATTCTGTCCATTTAGGAAGTGGGGTCATAGAATCGTACATGTGACCAGAAACCATTTCAGGTCACTTTATCAATTGCAGCAGGAAGTTTATCTAATTTTTTCTGTGGTGGATATATCTGTAAAAATTACTTGAGTAATATAATATGAGTGCTTTTTTATATAATTTTTGACTACCCATTAATCTTAAAAATTTATGAAAATATTCTAATGTTTTATTGAATTTTAGGTACTTTGGCTTTAAAATTACTCTAGTTATCACTCTTATTTCCTGATAATGTTATGTATGGGCACCTGTATTTACAAAAACTGGTACGTATATATACATACAAAAATATTCAAAATTATTTGAAAAATATTTGGGGGTTACTAAAGTGTTATAAGTTATTCCATTTATAATTAGTAAATTTTTACTTAATAGCAATAACACTTAACCTCTACAAACTAAGACAGAATTTTAAAAGATTTAAAACTTTAAAAAAATTATAATTAAAATTTATAAAAAAACAATTCTTGTAAAAATTCATTATTTATTAAAAAATTTTCAGTAACTAGTAGTCTTCTTTTACAAAAAAAATTGATGATTTAAATTCTCTAAAAAGTTCTGCTTTAAACTAATAAGCTAAGCAGGACAAAATTTAATTTCTCAAAATTTCATAAAATTAAATAAGTGAGGGTAACAGATGAAAAAACAAATAAATGAACTCTGGTAAAAAAAAAAAAGAAGTTTACTGAGACATTAGGTTTATAAGTCCCCAAAATTCATACACTGATGTCCTCAAGGCCCAGTGGATAAAAAAGTTGGTTGGATCTAGTTACTTGACTCAAAGAGTTGTGAGTTCAATACCTAGCTACTGCAGTGGTAAACAAAAACTTGGAGAGTTGAGTTAAAGGGAGATAACTGAGAAATCCAGATGTGGAACTAGAACAATCTACCTTAGTTGATGAAATAAAGGGTTCAGTTTGAAATTCCAATCATCTGAAGAAAGCCAGAGCGTACAACAGCTGAAATGTTGTGAATATCAATCATAGTATGCTAGTTTTTTTAGCAAGTCTGTGGGGTACCTACTTTTTATATAAAATTTATTTTCATTTACAAGATATGAAAATGTGTCTGGTAAGTCGTATAGTATAGTGTTCCAATGTATGGTGTACAAGGTGTGAAATGAAGGCATGTAAAAGGAGTTATGCTTAACCCCATCTAACCTGCTTGTTGTTTATTGGTTTGGGTATGTTGCGTTGATAGTTAAGTCTGTTCTCTTTCTGTGTTCCCAGTAAGACATTTTCACAGCCTAATGGTTGGACAGGCAGACAGTCATGCTCTCAGGTAGCATGTATGTGTGAAGTCTCTCTCTCTCTGTTCTCTGTTCTCTTATCTCTGTGCTGCTGTCCAGCATCTCTTATAACCTATATAAAGGAAACACACAGGTGTAGTTGTAGATGTCTGTAGCAAACAAGAGTCATGTTGAATAATGGCCAGCACTTTGGTATATTTGTGTTTGTTTTAAGATTTTTTTTGTGTAGAGTGTGGCATGTGTGTGACTTAGATGAAAATTGGTGTGTAGTTAGAGATATATCTTTTCTAATAATTGTATAAATTTGTCTTTAATTTGTTATCTCTATGTGAAAATTTTGTTTTTCTGCTACCATTTAAATATAAAATATAATTTTTTTTATTTAATGTAATTTGCTTGTGATGTGCTTTTGTCTGTTTTTAAACTTTCGATGGCAACTTTTTTTTTGCAATGTCTAAACCAAAAAAGATTAATAAAGAAAACAAAAAATAAAACAAAACAATCCCTGCCACTCCCAATGTGACTTCTGTCCACTATAACATAGTAAGAGCTATTGTCACTGAGTGAGTAGGTGGAGCTTGTGTTGTCAAGGTCCCTAGTTGTATTTTTTGAGACAAAGTTTCAGATAAAAAAGCAAGGCAGATGGATGGCGAGACACAGAAGACTAAGGTTAACTTTAAACCATTGTAAAGCAAACAAAACAAACAAAAAAAGCAAATCCACAGATTTGGATGAAAAAAAAAAGGACCCCAGAATGATGTCAAAATCCACAAAAAATTTTCATCCTTTAATAGTCAGTTAGACTTAGTTTAATTTGTGATCTATGAAAATGTAAATAGAAAAAAAGGAAATTTTCATAAGATAGCAAGGGTCATAAAGCACTGCCTGGGGGCCCCTAGTCAGGTTTGCCACCCTCAAGCATCTGGGTGGTGGGAGTTTAGAGGTAGTATGCATATGCCCTGCCCTTGACTTTTACATGTGGCTGATATTTGTATTATCATATGGATTACTTTGAGTCTGAATGACTACTTGATACACTGTCCTTTTCTTCATATCTATCACATAGAAATAATAGTAGACACAATGTATGTGCAAATATTTAACCACAAAATGCTTGGTTCAAATCTAAATTATATAATTCTTGAAGATTATATAATTTCTGATAACTTAATAAAAAAGCTGAAACTTTGCAGATTAATAATTTGATTTTTTTTTACTGCTGTGTAAATTTTATCTTTCTCCATAAATTACAAATTAATTAAATTTATTGTAAGTTGATAAGATACAGTATCTCAGCAGAGATACTGTATCTTATTAATAATAATTATTAAAGAAACATTTTTATTTTGTTTGAAAGTGATTAATTAATAGAATAGGCTCTAATAATATATCTGTTATAATTTGAATTTGTCTAAGTTATTCATTTTACCAAAGGGCATTCAATTCTAGTCCTTTCATTAAGATTCACTAAGAATGCCATCTGGTGGTCACAAAGAAGGGCTTAAAATGCTAATCTTTGATGGAATAGACATATCTCTTTTTATTGACTAGAAGAAATGCATGTTGATATTTTAATATTCTTGTGTTATTTTCCTCTTTCTTATATATATTTGTGTTTGGACTGATTCAGTCATTTATTTTTTTACAGCATATCAATCTTTTTAAAATTATCTAAAGCCAAGACATATTTTTGAATTGTAAGAATTTTTCAGAGATAATAATAATTTTCTGATACAAGTCCTACTATTTAACCCATAGGAAGAGGCAGGTTTATACCTTTCCCAAGGGTATTTGCACATAAGTGAATATAACAAACCCAACTGAAATTCGAACTTGGCTCTATGATTTCTCATTTCGAGCCATTATCCATTAGACCACTCTAAGCTTACAGCACCTGGTATTCCTGAGTGGTCACTCATCTAGGTACTAACCAGGTTCAATGTTGCTTAACTTCAGTGATCGAATGAGAACTGGTGTTTCAATGTGATATGGCTGTATACCTATTTGTGCTTGGAGTAAATTCCGGATAAATATGTCTTCCCATATTTGCTATAAAAATATGTTAATGCTATATTGCCTGGAAAAAAAATTTATCATTAACTTTTGGAGACTAATTTCATTTTGTCAATTCCACATTTAATACAGCTCTTAGTACAATATAGCATAGTAATAACAAAAGCTATCAGGGAATACTTTTATTTGATGAGCATGTATGTGTACATATATATTTATTGCTTCAACTGAAACAATTTCAGAGCATATATGTGTACATATGTTAAAAGATATTCTTTTTTATATATATATAGTGATACTGAAATAAATCTTACTTTGTTTATATAAGAGCACACTGACATATAGTCCTTTCATTGATGAGTTGGACCAAATATGGATCAGAAAAATAAGAATACTAGAATATCTCAATCTCTGACAAAGCTTTAAAAGAGAAACATGTGTCACGGCTGCCATTGGCTGCTCCTTAGAAAAACGACCTTGAACTTCACAACCCCTTTACTCGCAGAGTTAAGGTCAGCAGCAGGCGAGTAACTGGACGACAGGCCCAATATGGTTGAAGCCAAAACTGTACCTTGAGAGTATCGGATAAGGCAGTGCTGACCAAACATCGAACAACATGAGGAGTAATTTTATATCTACAGTTTTCTACTCCCTCTAGCCAGGGAGTACTTGAACAAACTGTACCATATAATATTAGCCCCTTTTTCTGACACAACCCAAGCTGCTCGGCACAGGGCCAAGATCAAAATGTCGAAGTAGACGGCCAGGAGTCAGGAGGTTTCCAACTTTGGGTTGGAATATCTCCAACGGTTCAAGTGAACCATCAAGTAGACAGCAAGGAGGTGTTGAAGTAGATGGCCTGGAGGCATCCTTTTTACACGGTTTCCTGTGTCATGTTTTGAGGGTGGGTGGGATGGTGGAGTCCTGCCTGGATTACCCTGCTCCACCCTCGCCAGCAATGTCATGTGAGCAGCTGCCTCCCAAAGAGGCAACCAGCATGGACTAGTTGCTTCCCATGGAGGGAACTACCAATAAGCAGCTGCGTCCCATGGAAGAGGTTAACAATGATCAGTCTTTTGAAGGCACTGACGTCACTGGAGTTTTTACCTCAAATTGTTTGTGGTGCCGGGCCTTCATGTGGGACGTGCTGCTGCCCACAACTGAAGACACCATTAAAATGGATCTAATCATGAAAGACCTTATTCTCTGGACAGAATACAGGGGTATGAAGAAGACCAGTGTAGCAGCACACATGAAGGGCAAGGCTCTGGTCGCTTACTTCATGCAGTTCAGCAAATTCTTGGTTACTCCTCTGACCATAAGGTGGGAGAATGGAGGTTTGACGTCATGCTGTGTAGGCGGGCCTTTGACACCATTCCCAGCATGTTGGACATCGATGGGAGAATGCTACCCGTCATTGTGACGGGTAGAAGGCCGACATGCTGGAAATGTGGCAAAATCGGCCATATGGCCTCTATGTGCCCAGAGAAGCCTGCCTCGGGCCGCCAACCAGTGTCAAACAAGAGTGTCCCCGAGTCCTTGAATATGCCCGCAAACAAGACCTCTGTTCCCGCTTCCCCCTTGCCTACAGTAGGTGAAGGGGATTGGAAGGTTGTTGGTAAGGGGATGAGGAGGGTGCAAGCAGCAGCACGTCCGACCAATAAGAAGAACAGCAAGGGCACCACCCCAAACAGCTCTGGGGAAGAGGCCTCGGCTACACGAAAACCATCACCACCAACATCAACACCACGAAAACCATCACCACCAACATCAACACCACCAAAACCATCATCACCAATATCAACACCACCAACACTGACACAAAAACTGTCAACACCATCATCTCCACCACAGACTTTTCGCCCCTCATCCTCTGCCTCATCTTCCGCGACCAAATTAAAGGCACTACCGTCGACACTGAGAGCCCGCTCGATCTCTCCTCAAAAGAGGGACACATCCCCAGTGTACAAGAGGGAAACCTCATTTAAAAAAAAACTGTGCAGCACTGGGGAAGAGACTGAGGAGCCCTTCGGAGGATGCCTGCGGGAAGAGGCAGAAGGCGAAATTCCTCTACAACACGGGGAAGAACGTCTGCCGTGTGACCGCTGAGAGCATAGAGAGGGCCAAAACATTTGGCAGGAGGGCTACTGATTTGAAAGTCCTCCTGGCCATGAAGAAATGTGGAGAGAACGATCTTGAGGATCCCACGAACTTTCCTCATGCAAAGATGGACCTCTCTGTCGTAAGAATAGGTTCGAGATCGTGGCAGGCATGGGACATGATTGAAGAGGCGAAAAAGACTTTCGAGACGCCACACATCATCATAACAGAAAACAATGAACTAACCAAACTGAAACAATTCTGTGCTGGGAGGATCCTGGTTTTACTACACCCATTCCTCTATAGGGCCTTAAAGCTAACCTTTCCCTGGGATATTGGCGGCATATCCCAAGATGGTACCATCAAAACTGAGATGGGCACCGGATCTATGGGAGAAGCAGTCGACATCCTCACCCAGACTATGTTTCGGTGTGAGGCTCAACCCTAAGATAAGTGTCTTTCAATGGCTCTTTGGTTAGCGACTGTGAATGGCCGAGGCCTGAGGTCGGAGTCACGCCGGGCGAGACTCTCACGCGAACTCCAGCGCCTCTGCGTGAATGTGTTTTGTGTGCAGGAGACCCATCTGATTGCCAGCGACTATGAGAATATTCTTTCGAAGAGGCTCCTCCTCTACTCAGCTTATCTTGATAGCCGCTCCAGAGGGATCTCTTGGCTGGTCAGCAGGTCCTTGACGGCGTTGTGTACCCTTGTGTACGCGGATCCGAAGGGCAGGCTCTGTGTCCTGAATGTCACCATAAAGGGGAAGTCTCTTCGCTTCATCGGAGTTTATGCGCCCAACGACCAGGCGGAGCGGGCGCCTTTTTTCGGCGGATCAAGCCGTTTCTGACGATGTCTCGCCAAATAGTTTTAGCGAGGGATTGGAACGCCGTCCTTGATCCCGATTTAGACCGTAGCGGGGTAAGATCGGGAACTTACAACCCAGATGTGAAACCATTCGCGACTTTATCGACAGATCTTATTTAGTCGATAAGTTTAGAAATGAACTTGGACAAATAGGGGCAGCCCGGATACGAGCTATATCGACTGGGTGTTTGTAAGGAGAGTCGACGTAGGGCTCTTCGGGTGTCCAAGTTTTCATTCGATAGTTTTCTCGGACCATAGGTTCGTCCGGGTGCGAGTAAACTTAGATAAGCCTAAGCCTAGATTGACTGGTTACTGGAAGTTCAACACGTCTTTGCTCGAGTTCCACGACCAGTTATTACTAACCATACAGAGGGAAATGACGGGGAGTGTAGTTGGGAATAGGTCGTGGGGACATCTTAACTCTGTGATTAGGTTGTTTGCAGCAGATTATAGCCGTCGGCTCAATCAAGATAGATTAGCAGCGCAAACGGCAGCTGAAGCTAGATTAGAGGGTATCATCCAATCGGGAGATAGTGTGGAGGTATCAGTAGCTAGTGCCGAGCTGGCCTCCTCGCTTATCAAGAAGGACCAATCTCTGGTAAGGGCTTTTTTAAAGAGAACTTCTGCCAAGGCGACGAACATGGCAGCTGAACTGTGGCAAGAGGAGTTGCGCAGCGCATTGGATCGATATTTTCCTAGTGTCACATCACCGGACGGATGACAGATGACTACAAACGAAGGCATCTGTGAGGCCTTTCGGGCTTACTTCCGAGAGCTTTTCACCAGAGAGCCCGGACTGAGTTCTGCTCAGTTCGATACCTATCTAGCCGACCTTCCTTGTCTCGAAAGAGTCGAAGAAGATATGTGTGAGGGGGCCATCACGGAGGAGGAAGTCTGGGAAGCGCTTAGGTTAGCCGGCCGAGACAAGACTCCGGAATAGACGGTCTCCCCTACGAGGTGTACTTGAGGCTGTCGCCCGTCTTTGTGCAGCTGTTGGCGTTGATGTTCAACCACTGGCTGAGCAATGGAAATATACCCCAAGGCTTCACCAGGGGCGTCATCAAGTTGCTTTGCAAGGACAAAGGCGAAGGAATGGATAACTTTCGCCCTTTGACAATGCTAAATGCAGATGTCAAGATTCGTTTCCTCGAGGCTGTCCTCGCGTCTGTTGGCTTTGGGCCGTATTTTAGCTGCTGGATCCGGCTCTTGTACACGTCCCCTGGGGCTCTGATGGAGGTAAATGGGGTGAGATCAAAGCCTTTCACCTTGTCTCGCTCCATTCGTCAAGGTTGCCCACTTTTGCCTATGCTCTTTGTTCTTGCTTTGGAGCCTTTCCTGCGCAAGTTAAAGGCGAATCTGGTCCTTCGCGGAATTTCGTTGCCTGGTGCCACTAACGCTATCAGGTATTCCGCCTATGCCGACAACATGTCGGTGTTTGTTAAGAACGCCGCCGAGATCCACGAGGTCGGTAAAGAGATTTTCAGGTATGAGACGGTGGCGGGGGCCAAAATCAACCGAGGTCGGCTTGCGTTTGGGCGAATGGGAGGGGGTTCCTCTTCCTGGGCCCTTCAGCTGGACGGACGGGCTCGTTAAGATACTCGGTATCTGGTTTGGTTCCGGCCTTCAGCTGGACACTAACTGGTCGGAAGTTCGGAAGAGGAAGCGGTGAGACTGTGGACTCAAAGGAATCTTTCCTTGAAGGGGAGGGCGGAAGTGTGCATCTCGCACATCTACCCGATTCTCCTTTACCGCCTCTGTTCTTCCACCCCCGTTAACGAACGAAAAAAGTTCGTTGTTGACCTTTTCGATTTCCTTTGGAGAGGGAAGGCTCATCGCGAGCTCTGCTGCCTCCATCCTGAAGAAGGCGGTTTAGGTATGCCCAGCGTTGAGACTCATCATCATACGCTGCGCCTGAATTTCCTGCAAAGGGTGTCCACCGAAGATGGGGAGGATGAGGAAGGCGTATTCTGGAAGGAAGACACTCGCCGATCTTTCCCGTCTCTGGGAAGTGTGCACGCGGGAGAGGTGGAGTCAAACCGAACGCCTCAAGACGAATGCCCTTTCTATAAGGAATGTCGAAATGCGCTGTGCTGCCTATTAGAGGTGAACGATCGCCTCTCCGACGCCGAGGCGTTGTCTCAGAAGGCATTATACCGGGTTTTAGTCAGGGTAGAAGCCAAAGACAAACTCCAGGACGAGCTTGGTTTTACGAACGAGGAGTTTCGCTTCGTCCTGCCTTGGGCGCCCGGGTTGAAATGCCTCAACAACGACGAGGCATCACTCACCTGGCTTGTGTTGCGGGGGGCTCTCTGGGTCGGCAAGAAGCTTTACGCAGCGGGTCCGTCAGTCACGCCAAAGTGCGTGTGTGCGCTGCGGCGACTGAGAGGAGTCCATTGCGCACGCCTTTCACTGTAGCGTCGTACACCCGTTGTGCAGGCTGATTGAAAGTTACATGCTCCACATCTTGGGTGGAAAGTTTTTCATCCTGGACGCCAGCAACTTTTGTGCCAACGTGGTGCCGCCAATGTCAAGGGACCAGCAGTACATGTTCTTGTGTCTGCTCGGCATCATGCGAATGGTTGTATGGGCGACGCGACAGAAGGATTTTCACGGAGGTGAGAAGTTGTCTTCTCAACTGGTCTCTTTCTTTAAGCATCAGCTTAAAGTTAAGATCAGGGCGGAAAAGGCGCGTCTCCCTTCATCGAAATTCGGCAAATGTTGGGTGAGAGTTTCGCAATTGGTGCGTGTGAGAGGTGCTGACCTCAAGTGGTTGTTAGACTTAGGAAAGAGGATTTTGGGTCGTTCACCGAAACATTAGTCATCCCAGACCCGGTTATGGTAAGATAGATTTTTTGTATTTGATTGCATTTTTCAAAACTAGCTAGGGTATGCAACTGTATAGATCCCCTTTTTTGTTCCACATTTATTTTTAACCCCCACCCCCTCGTCTTAGGTGATAGATATCCTTGTTCTCTGGTGAGATCAGATATGTCCAATATATGGCCATTTTACCCAGTTAACCAAAATTTCTGCCAAGCTTTCATTTGGGGGCGGGACCTGATACTAACACATATTTATTTTTGTACATTGTTGTGGTAGGATCCACCTAATTTGCATAGTGGAGTACCGACCATATAAATATGGTTGGTACCGGGAAGAGAGGGAGGAATCAAGAGATTAACCTAGAGACTCTGCCAGGAATATACAAAAGACTATATGTAAATATTGTGTACACTTTCTTGTTTCAATACATTTTGTTCTAAGTACATTTTGTGTTGCATTATTATTCCATGCATTAGTCAAGTTTCAACATACATATATTTCATTCATTGTATATATTCATCCATTTTGCATGTATCCCGCGCCCCGTGCAAATTTCATGCTAGGATTCTATTTGAGTAAATGAGATATTTTGGTGATCATGGTGTGAGAGTCAAAAGCAAATATGTTGTTATGGTGAAAGGAATACTGTAAATACGAATGGGTCAATGAGAGCGCTGGTGGAGGTGAACGAGATAAGGTCGGTGCCTTTTACCTTGTCTCGCTCCATTCGTCAAGGTTGTTCGCTTTCGCTTATGCTCTATGTTCTTGCTTTAGAACTTTTCCTACGCAAGCTAAAGGCGAATCCGGTCCTTCGCGGAATTTCGTTACCTGATGCCACCAACTCGACCAGGTATTCCGCCTATGTTGATGACGTGTCTGTTTTTGTAAAGAACACCGCCGAAATCCACGAAGTCAGCAAAGAAATTTGCAGGTAGGAGACGGTGGCAGGGGCCAAAACCAATCGCGATTGCTGTTGGCTGAGTGGGAGGGGGTTCATCTCCCCGGGCCCTTCAGCTGGGCGGAGGGGCCGGTGAAGATACTCTGTATCTGATTCGGTCCCGGCCTTCTGCTGATCGGAAGTTCGGAAGAAGGTTGAGGAAGCAATGCGCCTGTAGAGTTTTCTTGAAGGCGAGAGCGGAAGTGTGCGTTTTG